CCCTTGAGGGGACCACTTGGGGATCTGGGGCAAAATCAGTACTTGGTCCTGCTAGTGAAGGCACGGGGCTGGACTCAATGACCTTTCAAGGTCCCTTCCAGTTCTAGGAGATAGGATATCTCCATAAATTTATTTATTTATTTATTTATTTATTTATGGGAGGGTAGCGCTGGGGACCCATTGCCTGGGGTTTGCATCTGATGGTGAAAGATCATTGGTCTCTTGTGGTTTTTCTCTCTCCCCTCCTCGCTGCAGGAAGTGCCCACTGCGCAGAATGGAGTGGCAAGTTCTGCTGTTGGCTCTTTGCATGGGTTTGGCTCATTCGGCCTCTGCAGACTGTGCAGCCCAGTGCTCCGTGTGTGCCGTGCAGACCCAGGATTTGGAGAAGCCCATAAGTCCCCTGGTAAGTGCTGGGTCCTATGCCAGGTGCAGTCTGGAGCAACCTCAGCTTTGGAGCTCAGAGAAAACGAGCTCTGTATCCAAACCGGCCCCTGGTTTAGCCCATTTACCGGTCTGGTAACACTTGCTCTACAAAGACCCAGATTTTCCAGACTTGCGCAGCGGTGTTTGCATGCCTAATTTGGGGGTGCCGTTGCCATGGTTGTGTGTGTGCAACTGCAGTCATTGTGCACACTAATGCGCTTTTGTGCACACAGTACTGAAATCTAGCTGACCGTGAGCATTTCTTCTTGCCTTGTATAGGGAGTGGCAGGCTGCTGAAGTGGTTGGTCCTGCGAGCGGGGGAAAGGTTGGACTGAGAGCATAACTGCTCTCAGGACTCTGCATGCTCTAGCAGAGACCAGAGAACAACAACATGGGCCCAGTTCTCCACTGCCCTGCACTTCGTGCAGTCACTTACACTAGTGCAAAGGCTGTGTCAAAGCTACCAGTCTGAGCTGACAGCATCTCACACCCACTGTGCACTGGTGTCTACGATGATCCCAAGTGCCGCACAACGTAGAATCAGGGCCGTGGGGCTGGGTCTCCTTTTGATCTCTGACGATCTTTCCCTCTCTGTATCCGGCCCTGGATGTTAGAGGTATGGAAGCATCTGCTTCCCACTGTGGGACCAGATTACTCAGCCGTCCACTGCAGCGGGGTGGGATGCAGGCTCTTACAAGGCAGGATGTTGTGGGATCCCAAGGAGTAGAGCTAGAGCCCCTTCCAGGACTGGAAAGGGGAATCCCAAGACATCATTCCTCCCTCTTGAGGGATACTGGAGAGAGCCCTGGCGCTTGGGGACTGCCGGCGGGTGTCATGGGTTTGCTCTCTTTGGTGTGTTGCAGATCTGTTCGCTGGAGTGTCAGGGCTCCTTGCTGTCCCGCACGGAGTGGGAGAGGTGCCAGACCGCTCTGGATCTCCTCGCCCCGCTGATGGCAGTGGTGGAGGGCCAGGGCCTGTCCCCTCTGGAGGCTGAGGCGAAGGCAGAGCCAAAAGGGAGCCCCATCCCCGGCGAGCTCCCCAGCGGCCTGGTCAAACGGTACGGTGGCTTCATGAAGAAACTGGACAAGAACAAGATTTTCTCCCTCTTGCGTGAGAACGCCCACAGCAAAGGCAGCATGACTAAGAAGTACGGTGGCTTCTTCCGCAAGCCGGGGGAGAGGGCGGCCTCTGAGGTGGTGGAGGACTACCCAGAGCTGGAGGCCGAGGAGACAGGCGACCACGGGGAAGAACCTGAGGAAGGAAACCTCAAGGACGAGATGAAGCGCTACGGGGGCTTTCTCCGCAAGTACCCCAAGCGGAGCTCGGCGCTGGCGTCCGAGGGGGAGGGCCAGGAGCTGGAGGACCTGCACAAGCGCTATGGGGGCTTCATGCGCAGGATCCGCCCCAAGCTCAAATGGGACAATCAGAAGCGCTACGGGGGCTTCCTGCGGCGCCAGTTCAAAGTGACGACGAGGTCGGATGAGGACCCCAACGCCTACTCGGGGGAGGTCTTGGACCTATAGAACCCCCCTGACAGTCGGAATACTTCCAGTATGGACTGCATCGCTCCTCCCGCCCCACATCACCCTCCTGTGCTCAGCCAAGCATCCCAGGCATCACACACCGACCCAGGCGCACCACCCCGCTGCTACTTCCCTGAAGAGCCAGATGTTTCGAGCCAGGCAGGGATTGCCACTGGCAACGTTCCTCCTCCATTTCTGTCTCTGTCAACTCCGGGACTTGGACCTGCTGCCGTTTCCAGCACCGAACCGATCAGGCCAGCTAGGGGGTTAGTTCAGCTGTATCGAAAGCAGGTTACTTTAATTCAGTCTCAGACGACTGACTATCGACCCTCCCTGTGATCCTTAGCGATGAGCCCAACTCACCCTCCAGTCGGAATACCCCAAACGCTGGGGAAGTTCAGCTCTGGAGCCAAACTCGGTGGCTGGCCCCTTTGGTCCGTCATGGACCAACCTAGAGCTCAAGATCCAAAGGCCTCCCAGCTTTGGGGGAGTTTGGCTCTAGCTCCAAATCGGAACCATCCAGCTGTAGTTCTTTGCGGTGGAAACCCATTTTCAAAGGTCCCCGGCGCCGGCACCAGGTGCTGCCGGGCATTTCCAATTTAAATATTCGAATGGAAACAGAGGCATCTGTTACTTGCCTTCTAGTCTATCCATTCAGACGCCTCTGCTCAGAACAGCCAGTGTGTCCCAGAGGGACCTGTGTTTGTCCGGGAGGGCATCTTGCCTGGAGAGCAAGGTGGGCTTGCCCTATAGAACCCTGACTTGCTTCATTATATTCCAGCTAAATCCCAGCTGTGATCCTTTCTAATACACACGAGAGAGGCACACTTCTAATGAAGCGATGAAATCACAATAGTGTCGCACTTCTGAAGGCACCTGAGTCAGCCTCTCGTTTGTCACCTGGGGATTCACGCACACAGTCATTAAGGGAGCCGAGTGAATGGAGGTATTGTGCTGCCAGATTTGCTGGCACAGTCCGATTGTTTGTGCCTTGGAGTGATTGTGTGCACAGAATTGCAGGTGCAAATAATTAGGAGCACGGACTGACACTAGCTGTCCCCATTCTCGCTCTGCTCACAGGGGATCGCTCCCACACACAATGGCAGAAATCAATGAGGAGCCATTTCTGAAAGTTTGGCTCATCATGTAGTTCTCATTGCAACCATCAGTGTTCTCCCCCGTCCCCCAGCTAGTGCTGAATTGCAACAGGCCAACAAAAATACCCTGAGACAGAGGCAGGAACGGGCGGGGCTTGGCACACTGTTTCCTTTTCCAACCATGGGCAAAATTGGGAAATTAAACTAGAGGAAAGCTCTGAAAAGGAATGTAGATGAGGTCTGGACTCTGCCTGAGACGCATTGTTTGGCTAAGCACAGGCCTCCATCGGCCCTCACCTGCTCCCTTGTGCTGTTCTGAAATGTACAGATTGTTTCGGAGTCTGGTTACTTTCCGTTATTACGTTTACAAGAAGAAATAAAGTTTGGTCTGTCTTGAGATGGGTCACGTTCACCCTCTTCCTTTTCTGTATGGTAAATAAAAAGATGTTAATGAGTCTGTGTCTGGTGATGCATCTGTCCGCAGTGTGGGGGCCGGCCAGGATGAGGGCTCATCACGGGGCTAACACAGGTCTTGGGGAAGAAGCCCTGGAAATCAGGGATGCTCTAGGTGTACTTGGTCTTGCCTTAGCGCAGGGGCTGGACTAGATGACCTCTCACTATGGCTCCTTTGGGACAGCAGCCAGCACCTCACAGGAGTGAGCCCGAAACGTGCTTTATGTGCATGAAGCAAATGTGGGTGCTTGTAGACTCACTGCTGAGTACTCAGATTATTCAACTGGGGGAGGGGAGCAGCAGGTGCCAGGACAAGGACACAGAAAAGAAAACAATGAATGCCCAGGACCCCTGCTTCGGCTGGGCATGAAGCCCTGGCGTACAGAGGGACGCAAAGCATAGAGAACCTGTGGAGTTATGACCCCCATCCAGGATAAGGGAGGAAAAAGCCCCTGTCCAGAGAGTTCTGCTACTCCCATCTGAAACTGCGTCCATGTTAGAAATATAATAATTCCAGCCGCTCACCCACACATCAGGGCAAGGGAAATATCAGCGGGTCCTCGTCCCCTTCACAGTCCGAATGGGTGGGTAGGTATCGGGCTGGGAGCTGGTAACTGTTCCTGACAGTTTTGCAGGTTTGATCTGTACAGCAGGGCCCACCCTCTGTGGATCCACCTCCGCCCAGTTGCACCCACCTCGGCCTACTCAGCCATTCCACTCCCTCTCTGTTGAGAACACACCTCTTCCTGGTGCTTTCTGTGCTCTGAAACACGCCATGCCAAAAACTTTCCAGCTGCAGCTCCCAGACTCTGCCCAGCAGAGACAATCCCCCAGTCTCCTGCCTTTCTCCTTGGGAAGGAACGGAGCCGTTGTTACAAGCCGGAAATTTGCTGGAGATGTCAGGAGGGCAGGAGCCGCGGTAGATGAAGGGAGACCATGTGGTGTACTGGGCAGGGCAAAGAGCTGGGAGGCAAGAGACCTGGTTTCAATTCCTGGCTCTGCCACTGTTTGACATTCAGCCCTGTGCAGCCAGCCAGCACCCAACCTTAGACACTGCACGCACCTCTCTAAAGTCCTTTCCCTGGGGCTGAATTTTACCTTTTGTGGCCCGGAGCAAAACTCTTAACCCCCGGCCCTGTGTCTCCTGGGCCCCATGGACAACAGAGGGCTAAGGAGACTGAGCTGGGGATGAAACGTGCCGCATAAGTGCAAATTATTAATTATAATGAGCATGAGACAAGTTAAGGAGGGATTCTTCTATTTCCCCTCGCACTAGGCAGTTCCCAGTGTCAGGTGTCTGCTCCCAGCTGGTCCGCCGTTCCCCTGGGGCCCGCAGGAGGGAGGCTCCGAGAGCTTAAGCCTGATTTTTCGCCTGTTGGTGATCCCAGGGGAGTCAGTCCTCATTTACCCCAGCTAAGCGGGATCAGAGTCAGGCCCTGCTCCTGCTGAGGAATGGCCCTTTGCTGAGAAACCGCCTCCTCGCCTTGCTCTGAAAAACAACCGAGTAAAGCTGACAAACAGTTCCCATGGCAACAGCTGCCCCCGGCCCATCAGCAGGTGTGACGCCGCGCTAGAAGTGGCTGCCATGACCTTCAATGGCGCAGGAGCCATCGACCAACAGCTTCACAGCAAGAAGGGCTTTCGCGCAGGGGGGCTCTGCGTGAGCGGCCCAGGACACCCCCTCTCAGCAGGGCCGGCTGGCGGGGGTCTGTATAAATGCCCCAACCGCTCCCAGAGGCAGAGAATAGCTGCACCCTGGAGACCCTGCCTGGGCTGCCAATTGGGGAGAGGGTGGGGCTGTCCTCCAGCTGGCTCGTTAGGAGGGGGAGGGGGCTATACAGAGAAGGCAGCAGGCACCCTACCCAGGGTGGGGCTAACAGAAAATTGGGGCCTGTTCAAGCATGCTGGGTCCGAAGCAGTCAGCTGGTCTCCTGCGCGCCCAGGCCCAAGACGAGCCAGCCTGGCCTGGCTGGACCAGACCCTGCCTTCGTCCCCGGCTCGGCAGCAGGGCTGTTCACAGGTACTTTGGGCCAGGGCTGAGGACGGCTTGGAGGGCTGGGGCCTGGCGGGGTTTCTGTTTGGGCCGAAGGATCCAGGGCAGGCGCTGTGCACGCAGGCTGGCTGTGGCTTGGGAACCGTCATGGGGCTTAGAGGGGGGTGGCCTTTGCTGTGACTGACACCATTGTATCACGTGCCCACGCGACCTTGCTTGGACGCAGTTTGAAGCCGGCGGCGCCTTCCTGCCGCTGGGGATGAACACGGTGTGCTGGCCCTGAGAGCTGTGGCTTTCCTGCCTCTCCTCGTCCTCTGTAACTCCTTCGGCTGGGCAGCCCCATTAGCCACCAAAGGGGGAGGCTGCCCACGGGTGCTAATGCGGCGGGAAGCTCCTCGGGGAGGGCGCCCTGAGATGCTGCCTGTCTCTGGAGATGGTTTGCATGGCAGCCCTTCGGGGAACGCTTTGTCTCGCTTTACAAACTCTGGGCTCAGGACTCTATCTGCTGGGGCCGTGCCTGGGGGCTAGTAACCGCTGACCTGCAGCACCTGTGCTGTGAAGGGTGGCTGCTGACTCGTGGACAGGCTGGTGTGCACCCTGGAGGGTGGTGGTAGTGGGGGGCTGGTAGGTAACCTGCAGCTGTATTGCTTAGCAATGGCTGCAGATTGGGTTGTATGTTTCATGGGGGCAGAGGACTTTGGCCTGCCAGGGAATGTGTTTCTGTGGCCAGCTCAGGCCCATGGGAAGGAGGCCACCCCAGTGCCACCCTCTTTGGGGGATGCTTGATGGGGCATCACCTTGGTGGGGAAGGAACCCGGCCTCTGTCCTAGGTGTGCTCTAGAGCGGTAGTGCTGGCAGCTGCCAGGTAACTTATCCTGTAGCCTCCCCTTGTGGCCTGGAGATGAGCCTTTGTAGCTGCTTTGTAACATACAAAGGAGGCAGAGGCTGTGTGTGTGTGTGTTTGGAAACCTGGAGTTGTGTAACGGGAGGAAAAATGAAGGTGTGTCTAGTGAGCCTTCCCCACGCCCAGTGAGTGACCTGTCCTCTCCAACAGTTAACGATCCACGCTCCTCCCCAGCAATTATTGCTCCTTGGGCCACCACGGCTCTTCCTGTACAGTTTGTGTGTCAGTTTATCCGGGGACTGATTGAGGTACAGACCCTGCTCCATGAAAGTACAGTACAGGCTTTCGGCATATGCTTAGGTATGGGACAGACCTGCAAGTAAAAACAGCAGCACGTGGTGGCACCATCTAGCCAGTGAGAACGAGCTCTGATCTCTCCAATAGCTGATACGTGAGCTCCCCTTAATGGTGAGTCTGGGACAGAGAAAAATCAACAGGCTGCTAGTTAATGTCAGGTGTCAAAAGCTGAAAGGCAGGAGGGTCCTGACAGAAGCTAGAGCGAGAGGGAAAATCTGGCAGAAACAGTTCAAGTCTAACAAACACGGAATAAAGGAAAACACCACAGCAGCCCAACACTGTAGCATTTAATTTCAGAAGGGGGACTACACAAAAATGAGGACATTTAGTGAAACAGAAATTAAAAGGTACAGCGCAAAAAGTGAAATCCCTGCAAGCTGCGTGGAAACTTTTTAAAGACCCCATAATAGAGGCTCAACTTAAATGTGTCCCCCAAATTAAAAATCCTAGTAAGAGAACCAAAAACGAGCCACCGTGGCTAAACAACAAAGTAAAACAAGCAATGAAAGGCAAAAAGGCATCCTTTAAAAAGTGGAAGTTAACTCTTAGTGAGGAAAATAACTTGAAGCACTATTGTGGTTGTAAGAAGGGCAAAAGCAACAATTAGAAAGGACAAACTTTAATTA